ATTTGATTTTTGAGTACACCAAGGAAAGCTCAGTATTTTTTCTTTTTCATATATTACCACAAGCCACAGAGACAATGACTTTCATTTCCTTTTAGGTTCTTTATTAATTTCCATTTGCATGTTCTATGGATATTAGTAAAATATGTTTTCCTTATAAAAACATATAGTACAAAGTAAAGCACTTTTTTTTTTATACAAAAGGCTAAATAACTCCAATCTTAAAGTTCAAAATTGATAAGAGAAACCTTGTTGTTATTGTACGAAATATATTATTATATAACCCTGATGTACTCCAGTGTATTATACCTATTTTAAAACATAAATACTTATTCTATGTTATACAAAATGAAATTTACTTACAGTTACCTAAAAGCCATATAATGGTGTAGCGTGCGGAAAACAAAATTGCATGTATATCTAATTTTGCATGGTATGTATGTGGAATTAAATGTGATGTTGCAAGGTACTTTAAATAAGGTAGCCACACTTTGTTAAGAAGTCCTAATGATAATAAAACCAATAGACATATTTCAGTTGACTTTTTACCTCATAGGGTATCAAAAACAAGAGATCTTCTTAACCGGCTCTACCGTATAATTATTACTAAGCCTGGGCATGCAGTCTAGGCATTGACAGCGATCGCAGAGTTCACTGACCGAGCTGTCCAACTCACGATTATTACTAATTTGACAGTTGCACCCGGTACGTGGCTAACAAATAACAATATACCTCACTGCAGAGATTAACAATAATCGTTAAATTACGATCGCTATGACTTAGCGACCAAATTCGGTAAGATTTCGAACGCAAACACTGTCGAAACTACAGCTTCAGGGTAGTGGCCGTTTGGCATTTAAAATGACTCTCCAAATTTTTTCTAGGCATTAGGTATCGTTAATAGATCACATATATGAAAAAAAAAACAGTATGTAAAATTTTCAAAATGAAGTGTAAACTTTTTGTAATTACAAGATAATTATAACATTCGCATTGTCACATTAGTTATGAACGAAACGAGCAGGGGTAGCAAGGGGCGCGGGCGCAGGGGATGCGCCGCGCATGCGCCGCGCATGCACCGCCGACGATATCTGCTCGGTTTTTTATTTAGTCGGCAACATCAGTCACCCGCGCATAATCCCTTTGAACGCACGCGCTTCCGCCTTTGCTTCCGTGTTGCGCGCCACCCGCCGCAGCCCCACACTTCGCGCGTCGGAATGTATTCCAATCGCGAATATTACGAAATGGTGCGGTGTTACATTTTAAGCGGTGAAAGTTTAAATGCAGCTCGGAGACTATACGAAACAGAATCCATCCCAGCCCTGCAAAATCAGGGATTAATAAACCCCGCAGTACCTAGTCGCGAGACATTTTTGGCTGTGAACCAAAGGCTATTGGACTATGGTCAATTTACTACGCCTGCTCACGCTCGCGGAGGTGGAAGATCAAGACTTGCAGTTGAAATCGAAGATGAAATCTTGGATTTCTTCGAAAGGGACCCGCGAGCCAGTACACGAGATGCCGCACGCCGATTTAACGTAAGCCACTATGCCGTGTGGAAGCTGCTGAATGTGACAGGGCTACACCCTTACCACTTCCAAAAGGTCCAAGCTCTACACGATGGAGATAATGTGCCCCGTCGCACCTTTTGTGAATGGCTGATTGCACACCCTAATGCCAACATTTTGTGGACTGACGAAGCATTGTTTACTCGTGTGGGGCTTTATAACCATCATAACGAACACTGGTGGTCCTTCAGAAATCCGCATATGATTCGGGGAAACCCACCATCAAGTGCGCTTTAGTGTCAATGTGTGGGCCGGTGTTATAGGCACGAAAATACTGGGGCCGTACTTCATCGAAGGGCCGCTCACCGGCGGCAACTTCCTCGATATGTTGCGGCATGTCATTGCCGATTTCATGGAGGACTTGCCCGTGGCCTACTTCCGGGATTTTTATTTTCAACTGGACGGTGCACCACCCCATTACGCCGCCGCCGTCCGAGATCATCTCACCATAGAATATGGTGATCGATGGATTGGACGCGGAGGCCCCATCGTGTGGCCTGCTCGATCGCCGGACCTAACACCGTGCGACTTTTATTTGTGGGGTGAAATCAAAAGACGTGTGTATTTTGAAGAAGCACAAAGCCTCGAGGACTTAAAAGTGCAAATTAGTGCGGCATTTGACCACGTGAAAAATGACACTGTAGTGCTCGCCAAATTAAAAGACAATGTGCAAAAACGTGCAAGACTCTGTGTGGAGAGGAACGGTATGCACTTTGAACAATTATTAAAGTATACGTAGGTAAATAGTTAAATTAGGTAGGATAAAGTGATTAGTTGATTATGTACATAAAGTTGATGATTTTTTAAATACGCCTGATTGCAAAGAATATCTAGTTAAGTACCTACTTTTTTATTATTGGTTTAACTAAACAGAATTTTAGGTAACTTGATATTTGCTTACCTACTTATTTATAAATTTAAAGCAGTATAGTTATTGTAATAGTAGGTATCTAATAGAATTTTTGCAATTTGACGGTCCTAAGCCCGTAAAAGTATGAAGGAAAGGTTTCAACTTTATGTACCATTTGCCCTAGCATAAAAAAACGAAAACATTTTAGGTAGCTGCTACTAACTCGCAAACGTACTTGTATTACTATCAATGAATTGCGGGAAGGGAGGGGGGGGGGGGGAACTAACGTAGCGCGTAAAGCGCACGTACTGGGCAGCGGGAGCGTCCACAAATGTATGTTTTTTGAAAATAACTTGGTGACGATATAACTCAACATTTTTGTTCTAAACGACATAAAAAGAAAAAACACGTATTTCATTATTTGTCGTAAAGATTAACATACTAAAATTTGGAGAGTGGTTTTAAATCTGCATTGCATATAATAATGTAGTAATTAGATGGATGAGCTAAATGTGACATGCATAAATTGCTTTAATATAAGATGAATTTGCGGAATCTTGGCATTATAAAAGCAAGGCATAAATTCGCACTATATATATCAATTTATATCATAGTCATAAAGCCTAGTATTAGATTATACACAAGCTTATGAAGGCATGATTTTATATAAGACAAACTCACACTATGCGTTGAAATCAACTATTAATGTGACCGTTTCAGCTTAGTTTACTAACCTTCATTTTTATTATATCATAGTCAACAGTGGTTAGAATAAAACCTGCTTTATCTTATTTAAATTCACTGAGGTGTCTGAGTGCACTTCGAAAGCGAATACGCTTATCTAAGTTTAGAAATTCTACTGATTCAATTATTTGTAAAAAAAAAATACAAAACAAGATTGATTTTACCATTTCGAAACTCACTTCACTTATGCCCCGAAACCTTAATACCAATTCAAAGTTAAGCGGATGTCGCTTTTGAAATTAATTCGGACACCCGAGTGAATTTGAATTCGGGTTCGAATTTTTACAGAATAGCTCTGCTGATCTGGAATTCCTATTCCGTTAGAGAGATTATTGAATCATATTAAAAAGGTATTTTTTTTGTATGGTCAATAAATTACGGCGATACATTGAGTTAAAATGTCGCATGACGTCACATCTGTCTTTTTCTACATATTTGTGACATAGCCAACCCCCACTTAATGCCCTTTATCTAACCCATTTCATGTTCAATTGAAACAAAAATTAAATACATCTCTTATATTTTTCTATTATCTGACTGACGGACTAAATACATTTTTATAGGTATAAAAATACCTAGGTATCATCCCCATTGAACAGTGACAAGCACACTTTAGTTTCGTTTTCAATACGGAAAAAAATTACGTTCATATGAAAAGCGCGCGTTTGCGTCTCTGAATCGGAATCCCTGATTTGGTAACCGAACATATGCGGCCAGGCTAAAACCTACAGTTTATCTACATTTTATTATATATTATTATATCATATACATTATAGGTTAACGCTTGACTACAACTCACCTGATGGTAAGTGGTGATGAAGCCTTGGGTGAAATGGTCCTAGCAGAACTAACGCGCGTTTTAGAGTCCCCGCAGACTACAGGCTTTCTATCGGCCGATTTAGTTCAATCGGCGTCTTAATCAGTATGAAGAGGTATGTAAGTGCGCACATTACAGAGATTTAGTATCGGCCGACAAAGTTTGAAGGGCTCCACAATTACATTCAAACTAAATTATCGGCGAACTGTCGGCAGACTGCTTGATCAGTCCCCTTCCCGCACACTTGCCGACTGTTTCGTGGGCCGATGCTCTTGGTCTTTGCCTCTTTTGCCTAGGTTGGTTGTGCGTTCAAAACAATCAGGGCTAGATAATCTTAAATATGTGTCCTTTTCCGCTATTGAAAGTTCTATTAATTTGACAGTTCCTTGAAACTGTTTATGGTCATGACATAAATATGGGACATAGTTACGTACAACTAATAACGCATTACTTTTATAAAGCTACCAATTATATCAAGTATAAAGATATAATAATATGTGCAATCAACACTATACACCACTGATTTCGCCACCAAATCTAGTGAATGTAATAGATCGGCCGACTGTTAGTTGACTGGTCTGTACACTCAAGTCCAACCCAACTGTTTAATTGGCCCTAACTCTCGGCCAATGAAAAGTCTGCAGTTTGCGGGGATTCTTATAATGATCGAGACAAAAATATTTAACTTTAAACGAGTGAGACGACGATAAGAATCAACGTGAGCGTGAGCGTGACACATAATGTGTGAAGTGTATACACTATATTATTAATAAATGCATATTCATCACAAAAATAGTTCTATAATATATTGCAAGACAGAAACATATTTAAATGTATTTGAATATTAAAAGGGGGCCTTTAATATATTTTTTGTTTTTGTTCAGGGTTATCCTAGACGATTTTCGCTATCAGAAAAACCATATTTGATAATTATTTAAAGATGATTCCCATTTAATTACAAGTCCTAAAGTTCAAAAACCATATGAAAATATAAATAAAATAAAATATATGTAATAATGCTAACCTGACCATAAGCCACTTCGAGAAGTTCCATTGGATAGTAAATAGTTTTCTCGCGAGGTCCAACCCAAACACAGTTTTGATCGGGATACTGGAGCCTGAAAAATTTATCAAAGTTTGAAAATCATTACAACATTTGACGTTCAATATATTATGTATACGTCAAACGTAATAAACAGTCATGTCTCAACCTTAGACTTGATATAATTACAATAACGTTAATACAAAGGTACGTGCGATAGCAAACAAGATATGCCATCCAAACACAAACTTTAAAAAACTAAGGCTTGTTAATTGTAACTTTTTGTATATTCACTAGCCGACCCGGCACACGTTGTTTTGCTATATAAATTTGGGGTGGACCCTTATCATTTATATTAGTATAAAAATAGATAACTACTTATTCGCGACCTACTGAATATATCAATTTCATCAATATCAGTCAAGCCATTTCGCAGAAGTATGGTAAATAACCGTGACATGAAAATTTATTGGATTTATTTAACTAGATGTAAGGTTGGAATCCCTTTTTTTTGACGCTAGGAAATGTATTTCTAAAACCTAGCGATTTCTCTCCATTAAAGCGACGAAGACTATTTTCAGCTCTTTAGTGGGTCTTTCTCTTCAGCGGTCCAGGGTATTCTGCAGCGGGTTTCACCAAGTAAACCAACTACGCTTCACCTTATCAGATCCCTCGTTAAAGCTTAAGTTGCATTACCAGATAAAAAGGAAATAGAAAAATTGAAATATCACCTCGCGCCTTTGATGCGGATGAAGTACTCAGCCACAGTCATGGACTGTTTGGCTCCTGTCTTTGGATCTTCGTATGTGAAACGTTCCCTAGTCGCAGATCCAACGAGACCATTGACAATAAATTCACGCTTTTGACCAGTATTAGTCTTATCACCTCCGACCGTTGCCACCACCTGAGTAATAAAAAAAAAAGATGAACTAAAGTTCTGAACATAAAAGCGACTGAAGAAAACATAAATTGACGTTTAGTCGTCATAATCCTGCCTTTTAATGTCCCCACTACTGGATGTAATAGAATCGAAGCTAATAGAGAGAATAGACCATGACCCACCGCCATACGGGCCCATTGCGGATTGATTGTTAACGACTGCATATACCGCCGAGACTATCAGTTCAACATGCCTTCCGAAGCACTGATGAGCTTAAGATAATCTTTTTTTAGTCCCCATACATATACGGGAGGAGAATTACAGTCACAAACTCTCATTATTTTCACAACGTAGCAATAACTTGTGTGAATGTGGTAACTCATTAGTTCAAATAATTTTGCACACGCCGCTGATCCCGTGATCATAGGTTCAATGTAACTTTATCTGATCCAGTGCCACCTCCAATTTTATAATAACTATTAATTTTAATATTCATATATAAAAATAAATATGTAGGCATTTTAATTCTATCAACAAAACCAAATAATTTTTACATTGAAATACAGGGAGGAACAAAATGACCGACACAGCCGAAAGTATCAAGTTAGGTTACATGCAAACGTTCATTTTATTAGACAAATATTTAAAAATAGAGGAGGTGTAAAAATGGAGAAAAAATTTAAAATTCTAAGTGTTGACAACCCTTTAACGTGCATGCGCCATATCGATTGTGCGCAGATTACAACGGACCGCGAAATACATTAATTTAATTTAATTATTTACCGATATCTTAATGATAGTCGATGCTAAAAATGTTCAATTCTTCTCTGAAGACAGCTAAGCACGCTCTTTTGCATGCCAGTGTATGCAAAAGATATGCACGTGCAAAACACAACACATTTCACACAAAACTAAACACAATCTTCACTAAACAAAACTTAACACTCAAGACGAACACTCTAGTATCTTATTAACAAAAATTCAATTAAAAATGCACTAGAACAAAACAAAAATCGACAAAAAAAGACACACAGCGGTGCGTCGGCGGCGATGCGCAACAACACTCCAGCGCAAAAGGTCGGCGGTGACTGAGGGGCCAGAAAATACCGACAGAATAATGAAGCCGCCTGGCGGCTGGCTGGTGGGTGGGGCTTTGATATCGAGGGACGAACTCGGTTCACATTTTTTTATTCGTCTTTTGATATCACGCATTTTTTAATATTCTTTTTAAATGCTATTTTAATAACTAATTACTCAATGTTTTTAAAACAAAGTTCATTTGTGTTAATGATGAATCGCTGGAAGATTTGTGAGTTTATCGAGTATAATTAACGATCCCGTTGTTAAAGGAGTATTACCCCATTCAAACAATTTTTTTGGAGAACTGCTCTTTTAAAATAACGTAGGTTAATGTTAGACTGATCTCTCTACAATAATTTAGGAAATTTTACACTCGGTTTCTTAATTGTGAATTTAAAGTTAAACGTCTCAAACTAACATCACTTAGTTTTCGTTTCCGATTTTAGTTTTTTTGATGATCAGTTGATAGCAGTTTGATAAAACTAGGACTATTTGACTTGTGAAATTAAAAAAAAAATCTTAGGTTATTGAGAATAAGCAGTAGAAATTTTCTAACTTACTTTCAAATCAGAAACCGGCTGTTAGTCTGTAAATCGATTTAAGCATTTTGACTGCCTCGTTTATTGATTGTCTGGTAGAATTTGCATGAATGCAGTCTTATAAATCACAAACTAGTTTATTTCGTTTTTAGAAATGAAGAACTCAATGACCGATTAAAACTTTTCCTTAGTACGTCCCAAAAACAGCTGACTCAGGGTTGAAAACACTCATTTTTTTTTCAAAAAGTTTGTATTTTAATATCTCCGAAACTATTTGACCTAGACTTATAATTTTTTTACATCATATTAAACACAAATAGTACTCTCTAGGAACCTCGGGAGTGTCGGTCGTTCTGTTCCACCGAGTATACCTGTCGAATACGTCAATAGAAACATACAATAATATATAGATAGATGCATATGTAAATTTCAAAACATATTGTATTTAACAAAGCATACTAACTCGCAGGCCTTTGAGGAAAGATTGGAAGCTCTCATTGGCACGGCCTCTTTGTACCTCTACGGGTTTTACTGGATCCAATCTGAAGTCACGTTTCAAAGCTTCAATCAAGGGCTGTTGCCTAGGGAACCCCTTGTGAGCAACTGTTAACAAATAAAACTTGATTAATTATTGACACCACCAAGACATGCATGCAGAAATTTCTTGTAGATAGCTGTCCTACCTTTCAGAAAGAATCGAATAAAACTATAAAAATAAAGACAAATTTCTTAATGTATATATTAACATTAAGATGTTATTGATAGGTGACTTGATGGAACCTTTTTAGAAAATATAATAAAAAAAAGCACCATGATTATTTGTAGATCTGAGCATAATCAAAATAATAAATTACCATCAATATTCACGAAGGGCATAGATGTAAATATTGCGGATTGGAAAAGACCAGTCCACATTTCCAAACCATCGCCAAGGTCGATGGGTCTAGAGGGTCGCTGGAAAAATTGTCGGCCGGCCTGGAAATAGATTACTCATTAGTAGGGCTTTTTAACAAGATTTGAATGCTTAGAGCGCTTGAACAAGTTAAATAGTCCACAGTCGATCTCAAATAGCATTCAATCTTAAATAAAGTAACATTTATCTTACATGTTACGCCTTTCTGGGTCCAATTTAATGCCACACGCATACATTCAATTGTAGTCCTACTTTTATAACTTTTAATACTTATTATGTTAAGAGTCTCAGTATCAGCTTTGGAAATATTCAGAAATTTCCTTAATAATATAATTTACCTTAACATATGATTCCAATGTACCCTGTCTTAGTATAACATCTATGCATTGTATCGCCTCAGTTGGTGGACTAAGGGAAGTGCCGCCACTTTGCATATAGCTGCAATGAAAGAAGTCAATAACATTATACATATCATAGAAAAATACTTATAAATTCAACCATCTCATATACAAAGTAAGAACATAAAGAAAATTAGAGGAGACTGGGGATTACTGTGAGGGGTGTAACTAGTAACAGCCGGTTTTATCCGCGATTTTAAATATTGCATTAAGTCGTGCTTTTGTCTTTTATTAAACTTTTATGAAATCTAAATAAGATTAGGTGTTTACCTATTTCTAAAATGAAGACTTTAGCTACATAGTATCATTTACAATACAAAAGTTGAGAATACTTTTAGTTTAGTGCGAGTTCTCAACATCATTATAATTATTTTTCAAATTTATGAATCTTAACAAAATTGACTTGAAATTTCATTGTTTCAATTTACCCCATGCCATATAACAAGGTGCACAGTGTAAAAAGCGTGATTTTGTAATACTAGTATGTAGTTACATGAATTGGGAATAATAGTTTAATGTGATTAATATTAGGATTCTATACTCAAATACAAAATAAACTTATATACTAAGAATAAATATAATTCAAAGGGATTAAAAAATATAACGAAATTAATAAAAACTGTTACAATAATCCCAGTCAGGGAGTAGGGGATGCTTAAGGTAATTTCTTGACTATTAAACATGCTTCAGCAAATAGGGTTTCGTTACTTAAGTTTTTGATTATTTTTAACCCCAAATGCTTTGTAGTTTTGTCTAGTCTCATGTATGGGTGAATAAAAAACATTAAATTATTACAATGCTCTATATAGTTGTATCTAAAAAACATACACAGAGTTATAGATATTGTATTTTATTTTTAAATAACACAAATCGGCTAGTCAATCTCTGTATATTAATATCTATTTATTTATTTAACATTACTAAAGGGATAACCCAATTAAATAATCATGTGTATATTATACATATAGTTATGCATGTAGTTTCTCCCAAACAATTTGATTACGGTATGCAAACAGGCATTCGATGGGATTTGGTGTTACTCTGATATGCCATCATAACCTGTATAGGTATTGAATACAGTCTCAAAAAAATCAAAACATTTGAAGATAAAAAAGGATTACTTACGTATTCAGTGTTCCCAAATCAACAATACCCGTGAATTTGTAAGATACTTCAAAACTCATTGTTTTACCATTATTGTCTACAAACTCCACCTACAAAACAAGCATTAAATATAGATACGGAATTATAGATAGAGAAAGATGATGACATTGTCACTAGATTAAAATATGTAATAGTCTTAATATAAACACACAAAATTAAATGAGGTTAAAAGATTTTTTCAATGAGTACACTGTCACTGTCCTTCTCCCGTATAAGTTATTGAAACATTATCCTTTTTTTATTAAATTTAATAGCATAATAATCGCGCAATAAACAAAAAACACATAGCCAGCCTAATCTAGCCTCACCTTTAAATAAGGACTGTTATTACAAAAGAGAAAGGAAAGAGCTTTTGCCCAAATTGCCCTCAAGGATATTTTTCACAGAAGTTTCAAACTATAACGAGGTTGTCAAAAATCTAATCAGCGGACGGTAGTAAATAAAGTCGGCAATGACAAGTAATGCAGGGAGGGATCAGGGATCGTATCATGCCTCATTTCGACGGGTATGTATTTTATTATGGTGTTCACAATTCGAAATATCAATTTTTCTCAGTTGAATTTTAATTCTACTCCAAAGCATTAAAGTTAAAAATTATGTGGATAAATTTGACACTGTATGGCCTGATGTGCTGTTGACTATTCCTGAATCATAGACCTATTTTCAAAATCATTTAGTTTATTTGAGAGCTTAAAGCCTGGAATACATAATATGCTACTTTAAGCACTTAAAAACTATACGCTCTAATTGAGCGCGCTTATTTATTGTATGCTCTGTGAGTGTGTACATTTTCTCATGAAAGCAGAAATACTTTTTTATTGACAATATTATCTGTTTATTCTCCGAGGCTTCACGCGCGTAAATTATAGCCATGTCACCCGCGTATAAAGTTTTTTTTTAAATCCTTTAGTTTCGCAGCCTATTCAATTGTAAATAAATAATCAAATATTTTTTCTATACTAATATTATAACAGTATACATGACAAACTTCAGTTGTGCCAACGTAAACATCGGCTCCGTATAAAAAAGTCAATTTAAAATCGTAAACGCAAGATATAGTAAGAATAATAGTGAACAAGTGCAAATGACTAATAAAAATAGTGATATAAATAAAATTTACAACTCAGCTATCGACAAGAACACAAAAATAGTGAAAAGTGACAATATCAACATATAGGTACTATATTGTGACCAATTAACAGTTTCTTCTTTTAGTGAACAATTTTTTGTGATCCACTGTGTGAATAGCAGAGATGATATAATTAGATAACCCAACAATATCCAACTGTAATTAAAAAGTTATAAATTCTAACCTGAAAAAATATTTAATGCTTTGTCATCGTCGTTACAAAAGACAAGACTTAAGCAAGAAAAATTAAAGGCGCCATCTAGCGGTCTTGTGAGGAACTGCGTAGCAAGTATTGGCAAATAACGATACTACAAACCTACTTGAAAGCAAGCACGATATCTAAAACCAACGTATACCTTAGCACGCATAAATATAAACAGAGGGCGCTAATAATAAAAATGGATGAAATTAAAGAAATGCTACAAAATATGCAGATGGAAATAAGGCAATACAAAGAAGAAATGATGGCTATGAAGGAAGAAATAAAAACTACTATCATAAACAACATCAACGAGAAAGTTACTGAATTGGAAACAAAAAATGAGAAACTAGCGCAAAAATTACATGCAGGAAAATTGGCAATTGAAAATCTAGAGCGTTCCATGAGAAAGAAAAATATTCTAATTTTTGGAGTTGAAGAACAAGAACATAACTACCGAGAATTAGAGGCAACAGTTCTAGATATTATTAATAATATATTAAAAATTAAGTGTGAGAAACATTATATTGAAACCGTGAGAAGACTTGGAAAAAAAGGTAATAAGATCAGACCTATTGTGATAACTTTACTTACTATGGGAATGAAAATACAAATATTGAAAAATAAAAAGAACTTGGAAACCACGTCTTACTATATAAAGGAAGACTATCCGCAAGAGGTACTTAAAAAACGAAAGGAACTTCAATCAGAAGTAGAGAAAGCAAGAGATCAAGGTAAAAAAGCGATAATAAAATACGATAAACTAGTTATATTCAACAATAAAATCCAACAGATGGAATCTACAAATACGCATAATAAGAAGAGAAACTTATCGGTATCCCCTGAACAAGCCAGTAACTCTACCAGTACAGAAAACAAAGTTAAGAGACAACCCACAAAAATAAACAAGACTAATAACATAAACAATTACATCATAAAAAAGCCAACGCTTACACTGTCTGAAAAAACTACTACAATGCATAACTCAAATCAAACTAAAAAATAGCAACCAACGCTGGCCCCTCTCAATTTCCCAACACGGCTAGTCACCGCGGGAGATTTAGACTACAACCCTCCAACGTGCCAAAAACTATACATCTGCACATATAATGTAAAGTCACTACTATCACCACAAAGAATGATATTGCTAAAACATTCTCTGGAAAAAATAAAATATGACATTATAGGCCTAGCAGAGGTAAGAAGAGACGGTAACAATATTCTAGAAGATGAAAATCATATTTTCTGTCACACCGGGCAGTCGAAAGGGCTAAATGGAGTCGGATTCATTATTAAGAAAAAATACAAAAATAATATAGATAACTACATAGGTATGTCAGAAAGACTATGTTTGCTAAATTTAGACTTTGGATTGATAAAGCTTTCAATTATTCAAGTTTACGCCCCTACCTCAGATGCAACCGAGGAAGAGGTTGATGAGTTCTACAACCTATTAGAAAGCGCTCGGAGCTTATCAACGGGTAGAGTAATAATAATATTAGGAGATCTAAACGCCAAAATAGGCCAGAGAAATCCCGAAGAAAACATGATCATAGGACCATCTTGCTATGGTAAAAGGAACCAAAGAGGTGAAAAACGTGTACAATATGCGCTCAAAAATAAATTTACAATAATCAATACAATATTCAAGAAAAACAAAAAGAACTTATGGACATGGATTACACCAGATCAACGAAACAAAAATCAAATTGATTACATTTTGAGCAACAATCCAAGACTCTTTAGCAATATAGAAATAATAAACAAAATGTCTTTTCCCAGCGACCACAGACTCATTAGAGGAACAATAACACTAGACAAACAAAAGAAATCTAGAAGAACATTCGATTCTATCCCAGTTATCAACTTATCAAGCAAGGAATCGCAAGAAATATATTTATATAACCTAAGCACAAAACTAGAGTACGTAGTCTGGGATAAAAACGACGATATAGAGTCCTATTACACCAAGATAGAATATGCCATACAAGAAAGTCTAAAGAAATCAACATCTATAAAAACAAAGAAAGAAATAATATCTGAAGAAACTAAAAACTTAATTATGAAGCGCAAGACTCTACAATACAAACCCTCAAAAGACAAGGAAGATAAAAAGGAACTCTCAGCACTTTACAAAACCACAAACAAATTACTAAAAAGAGACTACGAAAAATATAGAATGGGAATAATTGAAAAGCATCTAATAAATACGGGAAGTCAAAAGAGAGCATATAAACAGTTAAAAACAGAAAAAGCCTGGATCCCTACGCTCAATTCCAAAAAATCGGGACAGAAGCCACTTACAAGAAAAGATTTGGTTAATATTGCTTCTGAATTTTATGAGAAATTATATGAAGATCAACAAATAAAAAGTAACTGTTACAAAAAAACTTTAGAATCGATAGGCACGAACACAGCAATCCAACTCTTTGATGGTGACGAAATTATGGACAAAATCCAGAAACTGAAAATAGAAAAGAGCCCAGGCGAAGACAACATCCCAAATGAAGCTTTAATAATCGGAAAGTACACATTAATAGAGCCAATCACTACTCTTTTCAATAAAATACTTGAAAAACAGGAAGTACCTTCTACGTGGACAAAGTCACGAATAATCCTTATTTATAAAAAGGGAGACCCAGCAGACATCAATAACTACCGACCAATCAGCTTACTACCAACAATGTATAAATTATTTGCAATGTGTCTGGAAACACGGATAGAGTTAACCCTAGAAAAAAGACAACCAGTGGAACAGGCCGGTTTTCGCCGCGGATATTCAACAGTCGATCAAATACACACAGTAGACCAAATAGAGAAATATGAAGAATACAAGAAACATCTTTACCTCGGCTTTGTTGATTACGCTAAAGCGTTCGACTCTATCTCACATGAGAGCGTATGGGAAACACTAGAGCACCAAAACCTCCCATACACATACATCAATATAATTAAAGACATTTACAGAAATAGCACAAGTCGTGTTAAACTGGATAGACTGGGCCCTGAATTCAAAATAGGTAGAGGCGTGAAACAAGGAGATCCACTGTCACCTAGGATTTTTATAGCTGTACTGCATCATATAATGGAAAAACTAGACTGGGATAAAAAAGGAATACCCATTGATGGGAAGTACCTGAGCAACCTAAGATTCGCTGACGACATAGTCCTGTTTGCTAAGTCATCAAAGCAGCTAGAAGCTATGCTGACAGAACTAAGCAACGTTAGCAAAAACATCGGCCTACTACTTAACACTTCAAAAACAAAGGTATGTACCAATGGCGAGAAAACCCCCATCCTAATAAATCAAAAGCCTGTTGAGTACGTGGACAGCTATAATTATCTAGGAAAACAAATATCTTTCAAAAGTTCAAGACATATAGATGAACTAGATAGACGAATAAATATTACTTGGAAAAAATACTGGAGTCTCAAAGAAATAATGAAATCCAAACTTTCAGTTTCCCTTAAGAAAAAAGTTATGGATTCCAGTCTACTACCCTGCCTATCGTATGGAGCCCAAACCTGGATATTTAATCATAAAACAATGTCAAAAATTCGTTCGTGCCAGCGGGCTATGGAGAGAAGCATGCTTGGTATTAAGATCACAGATAAACAAAATAGCAATAACATAAGACAAAAAACCCAAGTAATAGATGCATTACAACATACACGACGTCTGAAGTGGAGATGGGCCGGACATATGGCCCGTTATTCTAGAGACAGATGGCCAAATCGCGTCACCAAATGGCACGGTCCGTGCGGTAAAAGACAACAAGGCAGACCTAGAGTTCGTTGGAATGACGACATAGTAAAATTAGTGGGAGGGGACTGGATGGACGTCGCGAAAGACAAGGACAGATGGAGGCACCTGGAGGAGGCCTATACCCGTAAGGGGCCATGACAGTGTTTAAGAATATTGTTTTTTCCTTTTTTTACAAATATTGTTACCAATAATCTGTGGATGACAGCAACCTTAACGCGGGTTTCCCAAGACGTGAAGAGTGACGTCACATTTCAATAAACTAACCGTCATCGTTTTCGTGGAGAATACAACCAGTATTCATGTTTATTGAAATGTGACTTCACAATTCAAAATGTCAGGTGACTAATCATTTTCGCGTGTCAATTTAAATCAATTAATAGAAGTATGTTTTTCTTTTATTTAATAACACTATTTGAATAAAAATGATTCTACAGGTTTAATATTTCGAATACCATTCTCAACAGTGAAGTAGCCAATACAGTACCCCGTGGTCAGTCTGTTATAGACTGCTAGTGTATAGAAGTTTCTTCCTATTGTTTTAGATTGTGATACTTACATTAGTAATGAAGCGATCATATTCAGTAACATTCGGCAATTTTTCTACAGTGTAACAATTTTTCATTTGATCAAATGCAATAACAGCATTTTTAAAGTGCCTGCTTTTAGAAATTGCATACGCTTTCGGTAGTGCCTTCTTGGGTCGATCGGGTTTGATTGAGACATCATATCGATACTGCAAAAAAGAGTTAAGCAATTATATTGACATACTAAAAATATTTAACTTTCCGTCCAGAATAAAAAGAAACAGATTATCCAGTATTATGTTAAATTTATACAAAGAGATTAGACTTCAATTTAAACAACAATTTCAATGGCAATAAAAAGGTTGCTTTTAAGAAATGGTCATCGTTTTAAGAATAAGAGGTTCAAATTAAATATACAACTTACTATTTTCAATGGTTGTATAGCCATCTGTAAGTAATTAGTGATCACTTGTATTGCTCTTATAGGCACTGTGTTCCCCAAAATTTTTTTAGGTATTTTATAACGACAAAGTGTATCTCCACCACCAGCTGTGGGAGCATATGTAGCGATAGCTTGACTCTGTGCTGTTGAAGCTGGTCCAGGTCGAACAGGCATAACCGACGTCGGGGGCAATGAAGATGAGCTTGAAGGAACTGGCTGTGGAAAACTAGATGGAACTTGGGATGATCTGGGACGTTGATCAAATGGCACATCGCCAGTTCTTTGTGGGTGCCCTCTCCCTCTACCTCGGCCAGCACCTTGGGCAACATTTTGACTTGAACCAGGTCTAGGCTGAGAAAAGCCTGGAGGAGGAGCTGAAGCCTGAAACGGCTGTTCACCACCTACAAATTCTGTTTTCACACTTGATGCAGGAGGCACAGCATGTGGCTGTTGAGTTTGCCATGCTGACCTTTGAGAAGGCGGAACTTGAACAGGGTGTGCCTGAACAGGTTGTGCTTGAACATGTGCTTGAACAGGGCGTGCCTGAACAGAATGTGCTTGAACAGGTTGTGCTTGAACAGGTGGCACCGCAACAGGTTGTGTTTGTACAGGTTGGACAGGAAGTTCAGAAGAAGTTGGGGCAGTTTGTTTCTTTCCCCTTTTCCTTGGTCTTCTTTTCGATACACCTAGCCCAAGCCCATCTTCTTCCTCTTCTTCCTCCTTTTGCTCTTTTTTTGGTTGCACTTCCACTACACTGGGAGTGGAAACAGTTTTAACTGTAACGGAAGGTGTTACAACTGGTTGACTAAGAGGTTCTTTCTCTTTTTTCTGAGGTTCTTTCTCTTTTTTCTCTCTTTGTTTTGTCCCACCACTTGTTAAACCAGTGTATTCTTTTTCAACGTCAGCAACAGATTGACCTTGTGATGTTGAAGGAGTTTCAGTGACATTTAATGACTCCAATGCACTGGCAGTCTCTTCCACTGGTGTGGATTCCTTCTTTCCCTTTTTTTTACCTGAGGGAATGAAAATTATTTGTAATATAAAACACATTTGTGGATAATCATAATACTAAATCAATAATATTATAAACTCCATTGAGAAATAACATTAAAGTATACAAAAATAAAGAAATATTATCATATTATCACAAAACACATTTAGCTGCAATTATGAACAAATATGAACTAATAAAGATTTGTCTACTGGATTAGATAGACCAATCGAATCCTGATTGGTCTGCTGACCTTTGTTCTGTCAGCCTGACAGATTATTCAGGGCTTTATTTTACCAGATCTTTGTAACTAGGCCTTTTCTTTAGTTATAGAGTGGACACCATCATTGAATAGACTACATACTTGCATTTCATATACTTGTAATACATAATAACAACACATACATTATTATATTCTATAGTTAATTCCAATCTTATCAATGCACTCCACTCCAGAAAAAATGTTGTGAATCTAGTGTGTTATTTGGCGCTAATCGCCTATGACTACTATTGTTAGTTTCATACAAAGAGATGATTATCTAACATTAAAAACTTTTGTAGACTTTTAAAAGCTACGAAGAAGAATTTGCTTCTTTATGGTTAGATTTATTGTTAGGGCCAGCGTAAACTTAAATATTAGCTTCGATCTAGTTACGTAAGTGAAACTATGGTTTTCCCATTAAACTTATTGAAGGTATATTTTGCCCTCAATAACTTTAATAGGAATTTGTTATATGACATAAAATTTGGAGGATACATCTGTCTTATTACGCAGAACTTTTGGGAATTCAACCCCAAAGGGGGTCAAAAGAGTAAAAACATTTGTATGAAACTTCTTTGCTTTTGGACCTATAAGGATGAATTGGTATTTGAGAAGTTTAAACTCAATGGTATTGGAAGCTTTATGGGGAATCAAAATGTTACCATAGCAACCATTGTTTACTATTTTATTTGTCATTGTAATAAGTCTATCTTAATATTATTTATAAAGATTTCCTTATATATAGATGTAAATTCGGCATTTGAGTACATTTTATATTACGTTTTGAAAATATTTGAGTACAAATAATTTTATATATGAAAGAAAAACAAATTATATATTTTGAGCTATACTAGATGGCACTAAAATTTATTTCAATATTGCACTGTTTTGGTCAAGGTCGAGTTTTAAAACAAAATATATCCAGAAAAAAGTTTAAGCTTTGCCATGCTTTTTAATTAAATTGTGTAAGGGCTAGCTGCTCAATTGGATGTACATATAGTTTACCTGGTTGGCTACTACATATTAATTTTTGGTTGTGAGCTTATTTTATTTTGGTAACTGTCTGGTAATCTCTTACTATGATATCATGAGCGACAAAAAGAATTGTTTAATTATTGCATACTAACATTATATAGCGAAAGAAGGTCTATGTATATAAACAGACATATGTCTGTTAAAATATTATATTATCTATCACACCTAACCCACTAAAAATAATTGACTTGAGATAAGTCCCTCACTCGCGAGGTGCCTCGTTTGAGTTCCTCATTTCGACAAAATGAGGGAGTACTCGTTTTTCAATTTTGAAACACCTCATTAAGTTTCTCACTTTTGGAGTGAGGAGCTAAATGAGGTTGTGGACTTTTTGAGTGAGTAACTAAATAGCGAGTTGTTTCGAATGAAAAGGCGACTCGATATTCAAGATTGAGGGAATGGGTTAAGTTTTATGAGTTTTTGGAACGATTCAAGTTTGTTTGTGTTTCTTCGCAATACGTCTTTAATATTTTATAGATAATTGATATGAATTAGACTAAGTAAATATCAAAGTTAATAAAAATGTATCTGTTTTATTTAGAAATGTATTTATATGATTCGAAATATAAATGATTGATCGATTTTAAAAATGGGACATTTGACACTATTAAAAAATAAGTTCCATGTTGTGGTCATTCTGATAAATGATAGTCTAGTAAAGTTAATTTCTTAGAATCTAAAGACAAAATATGTTTTGTTTAGCATTAGCGACTCCCTCCCTCATTTTGTACCAAACGGCAACGTTGCGCGCGCCTCGCTACGTACTCATTCGCTGCTACTGTAACATTACCTATCCTCACCTCAAATGAGTGGTGACTCGCGAGCCCCCTCACGAGGGAAAATGAGGTCCTCACTCATCCTCATTAAAAAAAGAGTCTTTTTATAGTGATAAAAGGGTTGAAATATGGATTTAAAGTCAAAGATAAAATCATAAGACTTGATATTCAGGTATTTTACATAATATAATAAATAATATTTGTTTTTAAAAATGCCATTCAAAGTAACTATACCACACAGACAAAGCCACAGTCATAAGCTAATTTTGTTTAAATCTGAAACTAGCAGTAAATAATACCATTATGAAAAAGTAAAAGCTGAGAATGTGATAATGAGATTAAGTTACTTTTACCGATAATAGAAAAACAGGATAGGCTATAAAATTTTGTCAAGTTAACAAAATTAATGGGAATATTATAAAATATGTGTTAATTTGTAACATCAATAGAATTGACAGAAACTCCAGAAAATCTGTAGAAAACTGATAAATATTCTGTAGTATTCTAAAACAAAGCTATTTATCTGAAAAACTCCATAAAGCATTAAGCTCATAGCAGATAGTGTAGATGCTATAATATTTCATCATAAGATATAATTTAACATCTTAAGCTATCAAACAATAAAAATATAATATTGAAAAACTTTAACTTTTTTAATTCAAGGAGATAGACAAGTGTTCTGTAAAACTTATATACAAGGTGCTGATTTCTTACATTTTCATGGGCATTACTCATTAAATAAAACTATTTTTAATGGAAGTAGTACATTTATATATGATTTCATGATGTTTCAGACCCTTTACAGGTTTACCCTTTACCTGTAAAGGGTAAACCTTTACCTGTAAAGGTTCTCCCATTAAACTTATTGAAGGTATATTTTGCCCTCAATAACTTTAATAGGAATTTGTTATATGACATAAAATTTGGAGGATACATCTGTCTTATTACGCAGAACTTTTGGGAATTCAACCCCAAAGGGGGTCAAAAGAGTAAAAACATTTGTATGAAACTTCTTTGCTTTTGGACCTATAAGGATGAATTGGTATTTGAGAAGTTTAAACTCAATGGTATTGGAAGCTTTATGGGGAATCAAAATGTTACCATAGCAACCATTGTTTACTATTTTATTTGTCATTGTAATAAGTCTATCTTAATATTATTTATAAAGATTTCCTTATATATAGATGTAAATTCGGCATTTGAGTACATTTTATATTACGTTTTGAAAATATTTGAGTACAAATAATTTTATATATGAAAGAAAAACAAATTATATATTTTGAGCTATACTAGATGGCACTAAAATTTATTTCAATATTGCACTGTTTTGGTCAAGGTCGAGTTTTAAAACAAAATATATCCAGAAAAAAGTTTAACCTTGAATATAAATAAAATGTATATACAAGATAATAAAAAAATGAGCAATATGGATAATATATTTTAATGTATTGAGCCACTGAATTGTATGGCGAGCAATATTTTATTGTAAGACATAATGTTATAGCATCTTCACCATCTGTTAGGGCCTAACACAATCTTATTGTAGGTACTATGTTATCAACTTATACTTTTATGTAGTTATGTAACATGTATTATTCAATACCACACTTCATATTGAGTAACACGTAACAATTACTCATTATTTTTATTCTAGAAGTAGAATTAAAAGGCAGTGCAAAATATAGATAGCATTTCAACAAGTTTTATCATGAGTATTGAATAAGTTGACTACTAAATAATGTGGCCAATTTAATAATACACCAAGAATATACAAAGTAATTAAATAACTTTTTCCCAATATTTAGGGAGTAATAATTAAATTTAAAAACCACATAACCCACATAATAAATAAAGCACCCACAACACTTACCGCCTCTTCCCATTGTAAACTTTTTATTATCTGTAAATAAATTTTTTTATAAGTATTTATAGCAACTTCAAACCACATATAAGAGTAAAATTAGACACATACTATGGTGTTTAATCTCTTAAAAGTGCTCTAATTTGAAAAATCCTTTCACTATTTGAAAGAAAATCGTATCAAGGTTTACTCAAAATCAAGGCGTTGTAGGACAATTTATATTTAACTTCAAAATGTAAATGATGCAACATTCGTATCTTTATAGGTAAATGCCCGTCGATTCTTTTTTCTTAGATGTTAATTAAGGGAATGACAACAAATGAGAACTTAGTAAAATATTACCAAAAAAAGTAAAATATTCAAGTAAAAATTATTTTAGGCGTAAACTCGTACAATGCAAGAAAGATTTTGCAGAAAAAATAATTCATTGATAGACAAACAAGCCACTATTAGTCATTTGTATTAGACAAAAGTATGTATCGATATCGTAATCTCATCGCAGAAAAGAAAACTTACTTTTTTAATTGCTGAAAACGAAGATAAATATTTTGATTCTTTTATCTAGCGAAACTGTATTTTTATTCACTTTTCACACGACAAAACACTTATTTCATTGGTACTTTGCACGTAATTTATGTATTTATGTTCACTTTGAACCACAGAGCACTATAAACTTTTAAACAAAGAGTACAGTGCGTGCTCTATGTACTATAAAATAATAAAAATTTCTCCACTTGAATTAATGCCTTATGTGATTAACTTAAAAGTCAAAATACGCGTAATGTGATGGAACAACTTGATAAAGCTATCATAGATTTACTCTATGGGTATCTATAGTGGGCGTAAACACGGTCATTTTGCTTGTTGAAATGTTCTTCAATGGTGAACATTTTCTCGTCAGTAAACAAAATGTTCCTGTGCTTTCCACCTGCGTAGCGAACGAGCAACTGTTTTGATCTTTCTACCCTTTTCGTCATTAAAGCTCGATTGAGGGTATGTCCGGTATATCGACGGTAAGCCCCAAGTTTTAGGTCATCTTTGATTATTCGGGACAGAGTCCAAGGCTTGATCTTCATTTTACGGGATAAAATCTTCTGCTTTCTCAAGGGATTTCGTCGAATTCTGACTCGGACCGCGTTGATAGCCTGTGTAGTTCGAGCAGTACGCAGACGGCCTGACCTTTTATGGACATCAAAAGAGGAGGTCTCTACGAACCTATTGATGGTACGATACACAAACATCCGACTGATACCTAGCTTCTGTAGGATCTTCTAAATCACAGAAGGCTCAATTCCCTCCTTATGCAGTGCATTAACAGTGATTCTATCTTCTTTAACACCCCACTCCATTTAAAAATATTTAATTTATGACAAAAATCTTGTTGTTTTACAAAGACTAACTCTTAATAAATAAATGGCATAGCAGCGTTCCAAATTCGAAATTCAAAAATTTGGAAAATCTTTACTTTTACAATTGTAACAGAATTTATGGCCAGACTAGGTAAATAGCTTGCATGGAGATAGGTTAAATAACAGTTAGCTGGTGCAACGTATCTATGAATAAATAAATATAATAATAAAACCTTGAATCTTTTCTATTTCGTGTTATTGTCCAATGCCTACACTAAGTATAAAAATAATTGTAATTTATGTTGTTAGCGTTTAATAGTTTTATTACCTGCCCATGCACGAAAAAGAGCTGATGATAAAGTTGCTTATCATTTTTAAATTATTTGTATATTTAATGATTTTACTTCAAAAAACCTTACCAGTTTTGAAAGCAGTGGGTCCCATTTTTTTATTTGCCCCAGGGCCCTAGGTTACCTAGCTACGCCACTAGCTTTTAATAGGACACTCCCAGATGTGCGGGCTCCGTGGAGGGTGGGAAGCGGACTGGATGAATTATACACCATACAAAACATGGATACTAACAGGTTCAAATCACCGTCACAAACAGACACCAATACACCCTCTCGTGAGTTGGTCTTAATGGCGGCCCACAACATGAGGGGACAAACACACTGCTGGAGCCAGGTTGGACACAAGTGGGCAAAAAGGGTGGAAAGGCGGCAGAGAAAACTCTGTCCGCCACTGCCCAGACTGCTCTACAAGTGTCCAAACGCAAGGAGAAGCAGAAGGCACGGATGCAAAGAAAGAAGCAGCGCAGGAGGGAATCCCGAATGTCAGCTTCTTCTAGCAACCAAATTGCCCCGAACACCGGCACGGTGGAGGGAACGCAAGGGGGAGCGAAAGGTGGGAAACAGGGTGACCTGCCACTGCCCAAGCAAGCCCAAACGATGCCCACTACCAGTCGGGACAAGGCACTGAGAACGTATGGGGGAGCGACAGACAACTTGTTGCCTGAGCAAACCTAGGCGGGACCGGAGCCAAGTTATGGGAGGGACCGCCTACTGCCAAAGTGGAAAGGGAAGGGGAAGGGAAAGGCAAAGTCCAGCGCCAAGAGGGCCCGACTCGACGAGACTGTGTCTCCGAGGGGAGAGCCCAAAAGGCAAAAGACGGAGCCGTCAACCGGACCCAACTCTATCTCCAAGCGTTCCTACGCTTCCGCAACATCGGCAACTGTAACCGCCTCCACATCGGAAACTCGATTCGCTGTGACGTCGAGCGAGGGATACAACTCTCGTGAGACGGCCGAGCTAGTCGAGGAGAAGATTAAGGAGGGGATCATGCAGATTGCCAGTGAGACTGCGTTCCGCGAGTGTTCCAAGGTCGCCCTGGTGTTTAGTGGGAAACCGCTTTACGTTGGTACAAACCCTAGAGTGGGTACGACAGCAGGTACGGAACGTACAGAGCCCAGATGGAGGAAATCTTGTTGTCCTTAGGGCCAAACGGGTTAGGTGCGGCTTCGTTCTGCCTAAACTCTGGAACAAGGATCGAGTTATGCTAGGCAAATGCCTGGCGATCGGAAATCCAGACTTGAACATCGAAAAATGGCTGCTCAACGGTGTTCACCTGCAGCCGAAGTTCGAAGCAACCTTCGTTCTCCTATGGATACCTGAGAAGGACGTATCCGCGATCCTGGCTAAGGGGCGCAGACTCTGTTGTATGACAGGATCCGTGTACCTGAAGTTCAGGGACGCGAGAGGGAAGTACGTCGACACTCCGCCGACGAACAACCCTAGTGCGACTTCCTCAGTATCGGTACCGGAACCAACACAGGCCGCCACTTCTGCGCCGATACCCACACCGGCACCCACGCCCGACGCCGGCTTACCACACGCCACCGCCACGTCCTCGGCGATTCCAGACGACGCCATCCCCGGTCCTTCGCACGAGGCCTCATCGCCTCTGAGTGCGGGATACCTCCTGGGGCTGAGCGAGCTGGAGATCGAGGACGTCAATTGCGAGGACGATAGCGTCCCACTGCAGTAGTGCGAAGATACTGCAAGCCAACCTCCAACACAGCATCACCGCAACGGCTCAGCTTCGGAGATGGTTGGAGGTAAATACAACAGCGGTCGCACTGATCCAGGAGCCTTGGATCAGGGTGGCGAGATAAGAGGACTTTCCAGTCTGGGAGGTAAGCTCATTCAAGCCACTGCTAATGACGTAAGAACCTGTATACACACTACCAAAGACATTAGAACACAGACTTTACACGAATTTCTGTTCCAGAGATCTCTGCGCCACAAGGCTGACAATGAAACATGATAATTATAACTGCGATATGATCTTAGCGTCTGCTCACATGCACGAAAAGGAGCGAGTTCCACCAGAGGAGGTTGCCTCACTGGTCCGCTTCTGCGCGCAGGAAAATGTGGAACTGATCATTGCAACGGATTCAAACGCTCATCACCCCCTGTGGGGAATGGAGAAAAGCAACATCAGAGGTAACCAACTTGTTGAATTCCTTCTGACCACTAACTTATTGATAATTAACAGAGGAAACGAACCCACCTTTGTGAGCAAGATCGGCAGCTCCATAATTGATCTTACTCTCGCGACCCCGAAAACGGTGCCAGCGATATCGGACTGGCACGTATCAAAAGAGGCGTCATGCTCTGATCATCGGTGGATTCGGTTCATCTTACAGGTACCGATCACTAACCCCATCCCTAAAAGGTACCCCAAAAAAACTAACAAAACCCATTACAATCGTTTGGTGTCAGAGAAACTAGCAGCAGCTTTTCTCCCTTTAAGGCGGCAGGAAGCGATTTTCCCAGCACTACTACAATGGGGAGGCGAGACTATTGACACAGCACTCACCTGTATACTACAAGCGTGTCTTGCTCACCAATACACGCCACACAGATGGAGTGAAGTAAAGGTAGTATTTATACCCAAACCGGGAAAAACCGACTATACTAACCCCAAATCCTTTTGGCCCATCAGTCTAACATCTTTCCTACTCAAAACTCTGGAAAGACTATGCGACAGATATGTACGAAGTGGTGCACTGAGCATTTCTCCGATACATAAACATCAACACGCCTACTTTGCAGGTAAATCTACAGAATCGGCTCTCCATCAACTAGTCGGTAAGATAGAATTGGCCCTTCACAACAAGCTCATCTGTCTTGGCACTTTCATCGATATCGAAGGTGCCTTTGATAGAACCAACTTCACCAGCATTGAGGCGGCTCTCAAAAGACATGGAGTAAAGCCACAAGTTATAGACTGGATCGTGAATATGCTGCGCAACAGGATAGTTCGGGTGGCAGGTGAGGATAGTACGGGGGCACTGGTGGCACGGGGATGTCCCCAAGGGGGAGAACTCTCGCCGCTACTGTGGAACCTGGTGGTCAACGACCTGATCACACTCCTGAATGCAAACCATTTCTACACCATAGGGTATGCCGATGATATCACAATATTAACTCTAGGCACCCATGCTGGTATAACCTGCAACACCGCGCAAGTCGTCCTAAAGAGAGTCGAACGCTGGTGTGAAAAGTACGACCTGACCGTGAATCCTACAAAAACGGAACTGGTAATGTTTACAACCAAACAATGTAGGCACGTTTCACCTACCGAAACTATTTGGTACAACACTACAACGGTCCAAGGAGGTAAAGTATCTAGGCCCTTGACAGTAAGTTAAACTGGAACAGCCACATAGAACACAAAATTAAATCAGCGAGCGTCATCCTGTGGCAATGCCGCAAAATGATAGGGAAGCGTTGGGGACTTGCACCAAAACTGTTCTTGTGGCTCTACAACACAGTAATACGACCGATGGTAAGTTATGGTGCCATTGTTTGGTGGCCAAAAACTACTCAGTCCTCCTGTGAAAACAAACTGCAAAGCTTCCAACGGCAGGCGTGCTGCGCCCTGATGGGATGCATGAGCACGGCGCCCACGGCAGCTCTGGAGGTAATGTTGAATATTACACCGCTACATATTTATATTAGACAGGAAACGGCCAAAACAGCGTTGAGACTAAAAAATCATAGACTGGTAAGGTTCGATACCGCTAAACATCTCAATGGCTTACTGAAGGAATGGCTTAACACCCCGCTTGTTGAGGCGGTGTGCGACAGAATCGAATCCACCTTCATCTTTGACAAGAAATACAAGATACATCTTACGGACAGTGATGATCCAAAGGTAACACACAGGGCCCTCACAGTTTTCACGGAAAGCTCCAAAACCTCAACAGGCACAGGAGCTGGTGTATTCTCTGAGGA